GATCAAAGATCGATTGGCGCTTGGTTTGGGCATCGAGGTGTCCACATCGACTTTGCATCGTGAACTCGACAAACGCGTGTTCACGTACAAGACGGTTCATTATGAACCCTTGCAAATGAACGACCCACTGTTCAAGCAAAAACGATTGGAGTACGTGCAAGCCTTTCGCGCGTTGTCCGGTGAAGGGAAAATCCCCATCTGGATTGATGAAACGAACTTCAACCTATTCACATGCCGGACAAAAGTTCGCTCTCGTCGAGGCACACGTGCTGTGGTCGTTCGTGGCGGGACCCAGAAGGGAAAGAACCTGCACGTAATCGGTGCCATTTCGACGACAAACTTCTTCTTCTGCACACACAAGCGTGGTGCGTACAAGCATGCCGACGCCAATCAATGGTTGCGCACCATGCTTCGAGCCGCAAGTGTGCACTACGGAGGCCTGAACGACATCGTCGTCGTTGCAGACAATGCACCATGTCACTCACGGTATACTTTTATGTGATTGGTGAATTTAACATGTGTTTGCAGCCTATCAGCGGTGTTCAGTGAACCCGAGTTCCAAGCTGCGACATTACTGCGCCTTGCGCCTTACTCCCCCATGTTCAATCCAATCGAGAACTTGTCGTCGGAGTTCAAGGCCCACGTGAAAACCTCGCTTCGAGAACGCCTTGCTGCGTTCATGGGCCCCCCGCCAGACGGGCAAACTCGTGAAGAGTTTCGCATGCAATACCTCGAATTTGTGGCTCAAGAGGTCATTGATTGTACGTTCCTCATGGTGTCTCTATGACTAACAATAATTTTAGCGGTGGAAGTGAACCGCTTGGGGCGTTTTGCGTTGCGCCTGGATTATTTCTACGGCCGTGCCGAGCAATTGGCGGACATGCAAGTTGGCCTCTAGGCGATCATGACATCGATGTTTTATTTTCATCATTTGGATGAATTATTTAATTCATTTTTGAGTTTTCCTAATTGAATGCAAGCACGACACTTTTGAATGATCTAAAGGTTGTTTGGTTGGGTACAAACCAATTCTATAAGGCGCATGGGCATATCGAATGGGCACACGAGGGGGTCGTGCCAAATCCAATGGGCACACCGAACGTGGGTACCAAATCCATTGGGCACTAATTCATTCGAATGGGCACGCCACTCAATCCAATGGTAAATCAACTGAATCCATCGAGAAAAGTCAATTGAAAAATGGTGTAGTCAATATAATCACACTTTAACTTCGAGATTTTCGACAATTATTGGTAACCGTGAACTATAAATTCATCGGACATATTGTGCTTATCACTCGTTTTGGCTATTCACACCATAAACCTGGGTGTTTGTTACATCGACTCCAGTGTTTTAGATATTCCGTACCATGATTTAGGATGTCACGTTTCGTTGCAGAATGTAATTATACGTATATAGGGAGGTCGTTTATGCAACTCCCTCGCTTTTGCACATTTGAAAAGTGCAAATCGAAGTTATATCTGCTATTCTCGGGACCAAATCGCACAATTCACTGGCCATCATGAATAACTTTTTATATTATAAATGATACACAGCGAGGACATGCGTCGGAGTTCTACCGAACAGCAATGTACGTATGGTGCCACATCGTAGAAAACCACGCCATCTTCTTGTTCCATCGAGTAGTACATGCAGGAAGCATGTACTACGCGATGGAATAACAGCTAAGGCGTTTTGGTCGCTCCAGCATCACATGTGATTATTATTGCTCAGAGTTATGTGACATTTATAAGCCCCCAGTGAATTAGCTACAACTCCAGGTAGTTATTCAACTTTGTAACACAGTTACAGCAGAAGTACCACTCGTTTATCCACGTAAAGCCGACGCCAAAACAAGTGCAAAGCACAATACCTATCGATTGGTAGCATATCATCCTAGCACCCAGTATTGCCTAGTGTTGATTAGTCAATACTGGTATATACTGTGATGTATTAGTACGCACTATTAACACATATAGCTAACTAATATTAACTAGTACTCATGGATTCAATTTTAAGTATATTCATTTATTAATACCTACTGTTGAGGCGGTTCATACACGACTGTTAGCGACGAGGCCTGGTTAGTCCGTTGCCTTTTTCTCATGTTCTTTACTGCAAGGATCGATTCCCGGTACGACTGGAGTGGATGAAGCAACTTGTGCACTCTCGCCAGTTGAACTGTGCGTGCTGGATATCGCTTGCATGCTGGCTGAGCCACGACGACAGCTTGTATTGTTTGGGCGACGACCGCGGATGCCAATAGTTGCGCTTCGTATATGATCGAGACAGTGTCGTGGTTAAGTGCGGGTCGTGCACTAAGTGCGCTTTCTTCATCGTCGGCGGATTTTTTCATGCACTCTTACCGCAGCATTTCGTCCTTCGTCGTAGGAAACACCCACGCGTTAGCTGCTGCAAATTGTAACGCGGTGGAATCGGATGGATGTCTCGTTAAGTCCTAGTGTGTGGAATGTGTAGTTGCTACCTTAGTGTTGTGTGCTACAATACATCTATGCACACGATGCTTACACACGAGAAATTCGCCGTATGCGTACGAAGGACAGGTACAAGTCCAACACAGCACCGGCGGGTTATACACGCCATTCAAATCGCCTTCGTCGGCTTTCGTTGCGAACATTTTCCACTGTGCGTTTATCTTGGATTCTCACGATGGCAGTGCTACAAATAACCAATGAGTATGTGCGATACTCTTATCACTATATTATCCTAGCTGTGGCCAGGTTCCACTGGGCATGCATAGACGACGCTAGTATGGCCTAGCCACAAATAATAAATAGGACACTCTACGTAGGACTAGTGGGAAGCATGTAAAAATAGTGTATATCAAGATGGTATGGGTAGAAAGTAACACTGTACCATACGAAATTCGTTCATCTGTTGCGCGGACGAACTTGTCGAAGTACCATTCTTGTATGTTTATCACGATGATAAAGCGAAGAAGATCGACCCGTGGTCGTTGAAAATCCTGAACACAGGTATCAAGATGATGAACAGTCGATACCGCCATATCTTAAGAGTCGATACTGCAGACAGTTAAAGTGCGCCTTGGCCATCATACTGGTCCGAAGGGTCGCCAATACAGTTGGTCACTGAGACCTCGCTCATCGATTCTCTGAGTACCAGTTGTTGAACATGTACACAAATAGATATGACGCGCTGCATTCCTTGCAAAACTTGTAGAATTCTTCCACAGCGCGGATATAGAACACGCGAGCTTTGTCGTGGGGTGTCATAGCATCTTCCTAGTTGCCAATATGAGTACATAGCTGGGCCTAGGCATTCAAGTAGTCGCTAGCGATGTCCTAGTCATCGCTAGTAGACACTAGTTTATATTTTAGTGCGTACATGCATCGACAAAAATGGGTGAGCCTTGTAATGCGACTTCATTAGTGATAGCAACGGCCCCAGCTCCGCTTTGTCACAGAAGCTTTCCTCCAATGTGTGTTTTCCGTGCACCCACACCGCTGGAAACGCAGACGTGCATCCTTCAACATGGAGCAAGGTATCCATCAGGGCGAACCTTAATCCAAGTCAATTATGTCAATTAGCTTACATACGTAGGTGTAGTACCGCACTTACCTGCGGATATCTGGAAGCACACTTCCTTGCATGATGCGTGATCGAATTGCTCGATCCATGTGCAACACGCACAAGGACAATTTCACGTCAGTCCAAACCGCCGCAGCTGCTGTAATTTGAGTGCTATCCTCGTTCGGGAAATATGAGCACGTTAAATTTCATCATGCTTTCGTTTCGTCATATTATTTTGCCTACAAATGTCAAATCATCCCAAATCGAAGTAGTTTCATATGTAAAATATAGTCCTTGAATTGTATTGACTTTATATGCTAAAAGCAAAATATAATTAAATGGGAATCGCAAGCACCCAGACTTTAAAAATTCGACAAAATCTGCTTCAAAACCCGTTCGGATGATTGATGCGTTACCTTAATCCGGTAAAAAATAACTGGTCAGTGTAATACGTACGGATAGTAGCAGTGGTAAGGGCCAGTTTCAAGGACAATCACTCACAATGACGGAGCTTGGGCAACCAGAAGTGGCTGACAAAGACGGCCCGACAGCGAGAAGCCAAGGACATCCAAAACGTCGATCAAGGCATCCCCAGTGGGCAAGAAGAGAGCCACATGGACCAGAGATGATTGCAGATTTTATGGCGATCCGATTCAGCGAGACAGCGAAGCGCAAGTTCAACGCATGCAAGACGACAAAGCAAAAGGCTGCATGGTGGGCTTTCGTAACCGCACGCTTTTACATTAGGGCTGGTGTTAATTACGATGTCAAGCAAGTGACGAAACACTTCGCCGCGTTGAAAACGGAGTATTTGTTCCCTGTGCCAAGCTACCGAGGAGACTTGCAACTAGGAATCAATCGACTACCCATACCACTGGCAGATACTTGTTGAATACTTTCAGGTTCATTATATACATATTGATATGTAGCTTTGATATTATTATGATTTTGTAGGAATGCTCTGAAATGAACTCGTTGCCAATTATGGACTCACTTGAGGACACGTTTGACGAGACCTTGGGTGACTCCGATGACGGCACCAGTAGTCCCCCAACCGACACCAATGGTCATGGTGTCGCTCGTGGCTTCCCTGGCGGTCCCAAAATCGGTCAATTTCGTGCCCTACGCCCCATTGTTTAGGATCAATCCCATTCACTGCCAAAATTCGTCCGGACGCGCACCCTCCAACGATTCCACGTGGTGTCGTGGCAAAGAAGTCGTTGGGTGATTCGTTGGAGGCGGGACTTTCCAGAATAGTAGGCGCTCTGGTTACTATGACTGGTTCGAAAACGTCACCCCACTTGCACCAGTTGTGGATTTGTCTCCACTTGTAGACAAAATTGATAATGTTGCAGTTGAAAGCGGCAGCACAAAAGGAACAGGCATCGCTCAACAAAGTCCTATTTGAGTCGCCTGCAAAGTTGATTAGCAAGTGAAATAAATTCAGAAAGTGACACAGTTCTACTAATGTTGATGTAACTTCACTTATGAGCATGTCAATACTACTAACGCTTTCATAAATATTAGCTACTGCTTTGATATATACTACCTCCAGACGGAAATAAACCCGCCACTTCGAAATCGTTGAAGGCCGGAAATAAACCCGCCACACGAGAGCCCCCACAAATATAATAAATATGAAGACAAATACATACAAATAGCTCGCTATTTAAATTTTTTTTTATTTATACTGCAGTTCAATACTCAAAGCTATATAAAAATGAATTTAGACGCAGAACCAACACTCCTACTCGTCAGCGTCGTCCACATCGATCCCGACTTTTTCGAGCGCTGTCAATATGTCGCTCACTTCCAAGTCCGTGGCAGTTTGGAGGGACAGCTCACGCGTCACCAACGCCATGTCTTGGTCAGCAAGCAAGCCGTGGCCAGTTTCGAAGACGTCTTCACTGCACATCACCGACTCGGGTAGCTTCCCACTCTTCTTCAGGGCTTCTTTCTTCATGTGCGGGACCTTGTAGGAGTTGTCGCCGGCAGCCATGATGACCTCGCGGAGACAGCACTGCAAGGTAAGGAAGTTGCGTTCCAACGACCACGGGTCGACATCGTCCCAGGCCTTGTTCGTTGCGTCCACGATCTCTTGATAGGTGTTTGAATGATGCGTCTGCTGCAGCGACTGGATGGCTCGAAAGAACCCGAGATCCAACACGTTGAGGTCAGGTGAGTTTGGAGGTTGACACTTGAGACTCATTGACCAACCGTCGGACGTGCAGGCACTGACAACGGCGGCATCCCAAGGCGCCACATGTGGTGGGGCGTTGTCCTGCTGGATGATGACGGAGCGGCTACTTTCGGCGGGCCACTTCGCCTTAATGGCTGGGATAACGTTGTCGATCAACATCGTCTTGTAGATTGGTCGGGTGACGTTGATGGGTCGCAGTTCCAAGGTGCCGGCTGGGCGATTTCGCGACGACCGTGCAGCTGGGACGGTCTCGGTAAAGTGCCACGTCCCGATCTTGCCGTCCCACCACTCTGACTTCGCGTCATCCCATCTAGGACGCGCCACCGCGGTCAAGAACATCACCTTTGTGATGAAACGTTTGCTTTGGGTCGTGCGATGGGGAGGGGTCTCGCCGGGGAGGAGGTAGAAGCGAGACTTGACTCGAGTTGCATTGAACCACTTCTCATCAACGTGTACGTAGTCGTACATGTCGTGGAATCGGAGCTCGGTCGGGTGGACGAAGTCCATGGCCCACTTCACGCGGGCAGTTTTGTTCACATCGGTTAGCTTAGGCTTAACGTGTGAGTTGTACTTTACCAATGTTCCACGTTTGTAGTAGTCCTTAAGGGTACTGACAGGTATGCCAATAGCGTGAGCAACGTAGCTCAAAGTCGTGCGCTGCGCAGCTGGTACGGCTCTGATACGCTCGGGCAGGTCATTGTATTTGAGCTTACGCCCTACTCGACCTTTTTTTTGGCTCGAAACGTCCTCGCAGACCAACTCACGTGCTGGAAGGTCGCCGTTGCCCAGTGACACGTTGGCACGCTTCCAGATGTCAGCAATCGTATGGCGATTGCGGCCAAACATGCGAGCGACGTCTTGTATCGCACCACGTTGCAGCTTACAGGGACCCTTTACAATGCGCAAGAGAAGATGGTCAACCACAGCCCGGCGCTGATCGGATGTCAGGTCTTTCATGGAAATCGCGCCATGAATATTTTGCCGCTCAAAAATGATCAATATTCACAAATTTCGGATAAATTCAAGTGTATCCGTATGAATTTATCTTGAATTGAGTAAGTAGGCTTGAAAGTTGCCTGCATTGGTTAAATTGGCGTTTATTTTTCATTCGTTGCGCCAATCGGATTCGCAGGCTTGAGTACTTTCGGGAGGTGTTTTCGGATTTTTCAACTTCGAAAAATTGTTGAAAGTATTCAAATTTTCCTCTTGTGGCTGGTTTATTTCCGTCTGGAGGTAGTACATAGTTTCATGAACTGTTTACAGTGGTCGACACAGCGTGGAGGGGGTCTTTCCCCATATAAATTGCAAAAAAAAATGCTAAAAATATATGTCAGGTGTGGAAATGAAGCTCCCGACCTATGGAATTTCATTCAGAAATGAAACAAAAGCAGGACTGTGGAAGAAACTTCGCGTGCACGTCGACAAAATCAAGATTGAGGTTGTTGCGATGGCAGGGACTGCATGTCACACGGTGACATACACGCCTCCTTACCACAGTGACCTGCAGCCTATCGAGATTGCGTGGGCCATTGTCAAGTGCCAGGTACTATCGTGATTCAATTTACTATCTACATAACTTTACTTTGGACAAGGTTGGGCGCCAGTACACCCAAGACACGACGTTTCGTCAAGTCCTGGTACGGCTCAAGGAAGCCTTCGAGGACCTCAAGGTTAGCAGCATCAAGGGTTGCATACACAAGGCCGACAGCCAGCTGTACAAACTCGAGGAGTACATCAAGCAGAAGCAATACGAGGACGCATGGGGCAACGTGAGCGACAGCGAGAGTGACAGCAATTCCGACAGCGATAGTAGTAGTAATGAATCGAGTAACTTTGAATCAGAGACATAAGAAATATAGTGGATTTTCATTGGCTGATTACAAGTATCCAGTTGTTGGGTTGCAGATTGTAGCTTCTCATAATAAACTCTCTCACATTTGATATATTTTTCCTGACCCCCTCCACGCTGTCTACCACTGTCAATTGCATTTTGCATGTGCAGGGCAGTTTCACGGTTCGACGTCTCCACTAGCCAAGTATCTTCGTGCACATGAAGTCCCAAGTATGGGTCAATTCGGTCGTCGTAGGACATCACCGGCATCAATCGTGAGGTTGATCAACACCACGCAGGTAACGATAGTTCGACCACAACTTCTTGGAGTTTTCATGTTCAAGGTGCGCTTCAGGACCCGCCACCTCCCTTTGAGGGCACCGGAGGCCATCTCTACGACGTTCCGTGAACGAGACTGAAGATAATTGTATCGTGATTCACTTCCGGGTATCCCAGTGTTATATCAGGTCTGGTATCATCATGAATGTGACCAGCGTGTATCCAGCATCACCGATGCGATGCATGTACGCCGACAAAATTGAATGGACACGGAAGTTCGACATATGCCACACATGTTTATCACCGCATGTTCCTGGGCGGAGGGAGGGAATACTCCTCCATAAATCGCCCACGGCCATCTGTCGTCGATTGCAAGTTAATCGCGGCGAATCCTTTGTGAATAATCCAACTAACGCATATCAATTTATCAAAATTGATGTGCGATACATCAATTTAAGTATTCATGCATTCAAATATTACCCGTCATATTCATATCCATTCTAAAGAGAGTACCATGAACAGCCCCGCAGATGTCGGGGAATCCAGCTCTGCGCTAGAATGTTTCAGCAATGGCTATGGTTAATTCATAAGATACCATTTGAGCTGATGAACGTAAAGCACCTAAAAAAGCATATTTGGAATTACTAGAACAACTTGCAATTATAATATCATATACGAGAGGACCGAAGAGGGTAAATCACTGGTGTATCGGTTGTTCTAATGGAGCAACGCCGAGTAGCTAAATTTATAATGGATAATTGCTGAAAGCATCTAAGCAAGAAACCAATCTTAAAATTTTTTCATAAAATTGTTTTAGAAGGCTAATAGGTTGTAAAGCTCTTTCATTAAGGAAGAAAAAGACAGTACTTAAAAAGAAGTTTCGGCTAATTTCGTGCCAGCAGCCGCGGTAATACGAGAGGAGCGAGCAGAGATTACTTTTTATTGAGAAAAGTTTGGATGTTTTACTATTGAACTGGGATATTTATAAATACGGACTCAACGTAATAATAATATCATACCTATATACGAAGTTAACTCTATATAATATATACGACAATAATATAATTATATGATACACACATCTCATTCACGTTGATATTGCCGTGGCCTTTTCGACTCTGAACAATGCTGCCGTTGCAGTGAATCCCCCTTCTTGAGACAAGTAGCTGAGTCTCATGACTACCCTCATCCGCATGTCAACAAAGGCGTTCATTGCTGGTAAGCGACGACCTTGTTCACGCGCGAAAACCTAGAGACGATCCACAATTTGGTCAAAAGTGCACCTGCTGACACGCAAGGTGCGCTTCTACTACCCATCTCCAGGGCAGGCTTCAACGCCTGTGACATAGTTGTGAAATGATACTGGCATTGAGCAGCAATACCGTGCCAGACGTTGTTTCGAATGGAGTACACATTCATCGGTGGTTCATCTGCCACAGTGTCCGACAACGGCAACCATAAGAAGGATGAGGAAGGAGGTAGCACTGAGAAAGAAAGCCAGAGCGTGATGAACACAAATAACAATTGTGTGGTTGGGGGCAAATCTGAATAACGGACTGCTTACAGCCAACGATACAGAACACCGGAAAATATCCTTATCCGGTGCCGTCTGAGCTAAAACCGTGTCCAGACAGTACAAAAATCCGGATACAAATCGAGGCCAAGCAGACTGGCCAAATGCCCCTTCTGGACACTAACGTTAGGTACTGCACGTGATTTATGTACTTGCATGTATGCGTGTGGGATATGTGTGGTATATGTGTGGTATATGTGATGGTCGCTGAGTAACTTTGCAACATCATGAATGTGGTGATACATCAATTTCGGAGTGGTCCTTCACATCACCCCGACATCACCACTATCAGTATGCTCACTTATTGCAGATATTCACTCCTGAAAAAGAATGTTATTGTAGTATTGTTGTATACTTTCTACGGTGCAGTGATTAACAGCACCCACTTGCGAGACTGGTGTACCGAGTTCGAGTCCAGGTATATAAAGGTCAGTAACGTTTTTGTTAAAGATGCTCATAAAGTTTTTAGGCGTCTGATTGAACGAATTCGTACCAATATGGAATTGCTGTTTTTGAAATCAGTACATTTGCTTGGTTGTATGTATTGTTCGCAGATGAAACTCCTGTGTACACTACAATAGATTTCCGAAACCCACCTCGAAACTACTCAAACACTGCTTTTTATTTGGTCATGTCGTCTCGTAATACTCTACTATTACACTACTACAGTACTAGGTACATCAGTACAGTACTAATAATAGTATGTAGTACCCCACTTCAATTCGTATATAGTACTACATACTGTACATACAGAGCTATCTCCTTTGAACTTAGTAGTACATATCATATAGTCAAATTAGATTATTGTAGCATCCTGTCATTACATTTAAATCTACTACGAATAGTGTCATACTAGTAGTACGTACTATAATTAAGTACATGTTATACAGTCAAATTCGACGAATCTAGCATTCGGTCATCACATTTAAATCTACTACTAGTATGAATAGTTCAAACGTGACACACCTAATTGAATATTTCAAAACGCAATTTGACAGGTACAACAAGGAAAACGTTTTTACTGTCAAATCCGAGTGTATAAGTGTGCAATCTTTACTTAATTTTGGACGATCAAGGAGTATTTGTGTGAATCTTTACTGATTTTAAGCAAGTAAAGATTCACACCAAAATTCCTTGATCGTCCAAAATTTCCACCCCAACGCAGAAGTGACTGCGAACAAGAACGTCATCAAGGGCAAAATGGATCACGATGGTCCGGATCTGCCCCAGGCCATACACAACACATCATGACAGTGTAGTTAGTACCCGCGTTGTATGAGTCCACCACTACGGTGCCCAGGTTTGTATGGAGTTTCAGCTCGTTTTTTACGCATATTGCCACGCTGTACCGAGATTGTCATCATGTGGGTGATCTTCAATAGAATAATAGTAATGTAGTACCCCGAAAGCTAAAGGTACCACTTCTATATGAAAATGTATGTATGCATTGGTGACGTCGGATTAGTCACAGTTGAAACGAAGAATGTGTTGGCTGCGTGGAGTGATGATGACCCCAAGCACTACCCCAAGGCATTGTTCATAATACTCAAGGCGTCCGTTAGTCAAGAAAGATTTGGTGGCTTATCATGTTATACTTTGAAGCAAGTGCAGCAGCAGTACATTACTTATCGATGGTCGAAGGACCTCTTGCGCCCAATTTGTCACCAAGTTGGGTCCGATGTTTTCTATTCCGTCCTAACAGTTCAGGAATTTTGAGTGGATTTGGCGTTATTCCTATTTGTTCTGCAGCGTGGAGAGCAACTGGGTCGCGCATTAGTTTGACCCATTGCAAACACACACACTCTGCGTGTCAAAGGTTCCGATACCTTAGTGGAGGTACTGAGTACTTTAGTGAATGGTAGTCTGTAGGCGCCTCGTGGCGTGTTTAACCTCACTAATGTCAGTGTGTATATTTGCTGCCTTGACGAAGGTCCCGTGGCCGAAAGCCGAGAAGAAGCGGGAGACAAAACAAAGATATCTTCAGTTCAGTGTTGAGCTATTCACTGGAGATGGTACGAGAACATTCCTCCGACGAGGAAACGCCAACGAACGTCGAAGAACGATCGCGGTCGCGTGACCGGATGGAGGAGGCGCGAGGACGCGCCGCTCGGCGCACCGTTGATAACCCGTTCAGATCTCCCGACGACGACAGCCACCTGCTGTCGACGAGTGGCAACCGCCACGTGGTGGGTTTTGCACCCCTACCACAACCCGAGGAGCACCAGCTGTCGCAGCGTTTGTCTCAGCTGCCACGACTGAAGCAGATGGCGCTTCAGTGCCGTTGCCAGCCGCCAACGATCCGTCGGACGTCCGTGACGATACGGATATGGGCAGCGATGGCGGTTACGGCCGTACGGCGCCACCGTTTGGAACGCGCCAGCGCTCCCGCAGCCGCCGACATTTTCGGGCTCGACCAAGGCCGAAAGACGCGCTTCTATGCGCGAGTACCAGATGTATCTGGGACAGATCAACGCTCTGCAGTGCAATGGATCGCGTCCGTTCGCGATGCCCGTGAGTCCCTGCATGGACCCGTTCTTGAAGCGCCGGATCGCGCTGTTCGACTTCAACCGCGACCACCATTCCATCACGAACGATGAGTGGGTCGCGTGGTTCAAGACAGCGTTTGAGGAAGCCCTCAAGACCTGGACGTTTTGAAGTAACGTCTGCAGCGAGCGATTCGCTTCGATACAAAGACCTTGGAGGTGGAATCCCGCGTCGGTCGTATGCTTGTCTTGCTGATGCGCTCGTTGAAACAAGACCATCAGGAGTGGGTACTCCATCAAGAAGGCGAGATGGTCGTCGAAGTCATGACGAAATCGATCAAGTTGGCGTCGCTGAAGACAGCGGTTCAAAAGCAGCTGCAGTTGCAGCGTCTTTCGATACGTCAACTGGCTGCGAACTTTTGCAGCTGGCCACCAGCTGAACTTGGAACTCGACGACGAGTCCAAACCTTCCCCGGCAGCGAAGCCGGTAGAAGCTCCGCGAGGCGACAAGCCTATTATGCCCAGACGTGACAGCGACCGGGAAGACGCCGACAAGAACAATGGCAGAGTCGGCGGAAAGGCCGAAACGATTGCGCCCAAGAATGCCGAGCCCCCAGCCAGGAAGGGCTGCTTGAAGTGCGGTGACATGAGTCACCGTGTGGCGCGGTGCCCGAAGACCGCGCC